ACATAGAGAGCTGTTAGACTTTGAGTTTCTTTTACATTTGGACTCTGATTCAGGCAGCAGCTGAAGAAGAAGATATATTTAGTTACAATGTAACTAGCATTAAGGAGCCACAGTAATAGAAAGAAGTGAGGATGATAAACTGAGGTCAATGACATAGAAAGTCCCAAGCACTACAGATAGAACAAACAGGAGAAAGGCACTTCCCACACTGAGTCTTCAGTGTGTCCCCAGTAAAATATGCATCTCAATAGTATTTTCTGAACAAGCATCAATTTACCAAGATGATTTTACTTCTGCACAAAGATGGCTTGCCTTGGGACACGTGACAGCCCTTCATGACCTTTCATGTGTAGAGATCAAGTCAGGGCCTACAACCAATGATTATGGATTCCATTATTTCCCCCCTCCCACACCATTTATCAAAATATCACAAATTCCACTGTTTGATTCCTCCCTCCACTCTGGCTTTAACATGAAAATTAGTCCCTCGAGGGAGTGTGGTGAAGTGTACATTTTTGTTATTGATGATGATTGTTTGTTGAAGACAGGGTCTCCCTATGTAGTCCTGGCTGTCCCAGAACTGGCTCTGTAGATCAGGCTGGCCTCGAACTCACAGAGATCTTCCTGTCTCTACCTCCCAAGTGCTGGGACTAATGACATCTACTACCAAGACCGGTCCTTTGTTATTGCTTAGACAAGGTCTCACTAGGCAATCCCAGCTGTCCTGGAACATTTTCTTATCAGGCTGACCTAAAACTTGTGATGAGTCTCTTGTCTTTTGCCTTCCAAGTACTGGGTTTACAGATGCATGCTGCTGCAGCAGAAGTCATTTATAGATTTTTTTTTCTAGAGCTACACATTGAAGCCAGGGTCTCAAGCATACTAGGCATGTGCTCTACTACTGAGCTTTAACCCCCAGACTGCTCCCTTTTTAAACATTTATTTATTTTACTATCTCAAGATAAAATCTTGCTGCGTTGGTCCTGACTGTGTAGTCCAGGCTGGCCTTGAGCTCATAGCAATTCTCCTGACTCAGCCTCCAGAGTGCTGGGATTACAGGAGTGTTGTTACACTTGGCTTCACTGAACAACCTTGTGCATACATCTCTGCCCCGTTTGGTTATCTTCTTGTATTATCCCCTTCCTTTCACTTTATTTCCGATGAAGTTCTCTCTGCTGAGAGGATAACATGCTGTTACTGGGGACTGGGAGAAACCATTGTTTGAAAAATAATATTAAATTGGCTTCCAGGGGCTGGCAAGAGGGCTCAGTATTAAAAGGCATTTGCCATCAAGACAGATGGCCTAAGTTCAATACCAGGAACTCACGTGATCGAAGGAGAAAACTGGTTCCAAGTTGTCCTCTGGTCTTCACGTATGTGAAACAATACATACATACTCATGAACATGCATACAAGCATACATACTCACCCATGTCCACCTAACTCTAGTCCCTGGTTAGAAAAGCCAAGGCTCTTTTCTGACCTCCTCAGACACCAGCCATACATGTGACAGAGACACATGCAGGCAACACTCCCATATATAGAATAATAAAATATACAAATTAAAACAAACAAAACTGATTATTGTTCTGAGAGGCAGAGACAGACAGATCTCTGTGAGTTCAAGGTTAGCCTGGTCGACTTATCAAGGCCCGCCTCCAACCAAAGCAGACTATTAATGATGTTCAGTTCTGCTAGCCTAGTCCGAGGCAGCCAGATATTACATAATCAAATAAGTGTAGCACGTTCAAACAAAACTGCACACATAGGACTGGAGAGATGGATCAGCGGTAAAGAGCACTGGCTGCTCTACCAGAAGTCCCGAGTTCAATTCTCAGCAACCACATGGTGGCTCACAACCATCTGTAATGGGATCTGATGCCCTCTTCTGGTGTGCATGCAGACAGAGCACTCATATTCATAAATAAAATAAAAATAAATCATTTTTTAAAAAAATGGTATATAAGACAACCTGCCAGTCAGAGTTGACCTATGGAATGTTATTCAATGACCTCTGTCCTCAGACGTCCTTTTTACCATTATAACAGATATTCTAGAAAGAGGCATGAAGTAGAGATAATTCAGTGGGTGAGAGATGCTAAGCCTGATGTCCATGATCTTGTATGCTGGAAGGAGAGAACCAACTTCTCAGAGTTCTCCTCTAACCTCCATGAATGTCAGAACACCTTCACATGCCTACATGCCTTCCATGTCTACTCATGGACACACCAGCATGCATGGGCCCACATACATCCACACAATAAATAAATAAGTATAAGTTTTTAAAAGTAGAGGGGTTGACATTTTCTTATAAAACACCATTCACAGCTGGGGATGTGGCTTGGTCAATAGGGTGCTCGCCTGGCATGCAGAGCCCCAGGTTCACTCTGCAGCGTCTCCTTACCTGGGTACAGTAGCCATGACTGTAATCTTGGCACTTGGGAGGTGGAGTCAGGGGGAATCAGTTCACGGCCAGCCTCAGATATATTTCAGGTTCAAGACCAGCCTAGACTGCATGGGACTTTGTTTTTTTAAAAACAATAACCAAATAACTACCCCATCACTTCAAACATAGCAAAACCAACATCCCACAGGGTATAAATAAAAATCCTGTGGGAGAGTCACCAAATGTCATGCGACAATAGTGAATGAATAATTCCTGTCCCAGGGCAGCATGGGATGATGTCATTGGATAGGGGACACAGAAGGAGCTAGAGTTAGAGGAGTCAGAAAAAAAAAAAGTGGGGTGGGAATCCAGTAGCAGAGGAGAATCTGGGCAGGCTGTGCTTCAAGGGGAACACCTGCCAGAGCTTTGCAGCACTTAGAAAGGACCCTGTCAGGTGGTCACACAGGGATCACATGGGGGCATCTGACCACCACACAGCCTCTCACTCTTGGAGACATGATGGGTTTGACACTTGGGCTGGCCATCTGAAGAATGTAACCTCACCTGCCTCCGTTGGAACAATTGGTCCAAGACACATAGAGGACACAGACCAGGATAGTGATAGTCTTTCTCTAGAAATATTCAAAACTAAGCAAATGGACCCCTTCCCCTCTGAGTATAAGAGTGTGGGCTTCGGTATCCTGCAGCTTGGCTTGACTTCCTGGTGAGGGCCAATGTGAACTAATAAACCTAGGAGGAGAGAGACAGAGAAGGAAACGGCTCAGGAGCTTTGAGCTTTACTTCCAGCCATCCCTGACATCTGCCCCCCACCCTGCCTTTCCTTGTAATAGGAGCTAATAAATTCCTTGTTTGCACGGGTTGTCTTCCCCTTTCTCAGAACTCTGCTCAGAGACCTTCGTTTCTGAAACACACCCTGACTCTTCTCTACTTCTCTACTGCCACCAGCCTGGAGGGCAGGAGCCACCCAGCGGTCCCCTGACCCTCTCCTGTTTCCTGTAATCCAGTGTCCACTCAGCAGGACAAGCTGTCCTAGGGCAAGGTCAACAGGACCATGTCAGTTCTCCACCTGAAATGTCCCTGTGATCGTCTGACTTGACTTCTTACCATTTCTCCTAATCGCAGGGCTCCTCCTTCCTCTCTGGCCACCTTCTTGTTTCTCAAACTCCCCACATCCCTGGTTTCCTCCTTGTCCTTGAATCCACTGCTTGGGGTTTTATGGTTAGCTCGGTCTTCTTCTTCTTCTTCTTCTTCTTCTTCTTCTTCTTCTTCTTCTTCTTCTTCTTCTTCTTCTTCTTCTTCTCCTTCTCCTCCTTCTCCTTCTCCTTCTTCTCCTTCTTCTCCTTCTTCTCCTTCTTCTTTAAAGATAGATTTATTTATTTATTTATTTATTTATTTATTTATTTATTTTTATGTATGTGAGTACACTGTGGCTGTCTTCAGACACACCAGATGAGGGCATCTGATCTCATTACAGATGGTTGTGAGCCACCATGTGGTTGTTGGGACTTAAACTCAGAACCTCTGGAAGAGCAGTCAGTGCTCTTAACCGCTGAGTCATCTCTCAAGCCCCATTCATTTTTTTCTTTATAAGGTGATACAACTGTAGCTCCCCAGACCTATTTCTTTAGGCTTGGCAGCAAACACCTTTACTCACTGAGCCATCTCACCGGTCCATCTTTTTATTTTGTTTTAATGATTGTGTGTTTGCCTGTGATATTCGTGAGAGTGAGAACAGGGGAAACACACAGGGCAGCCTTGGTTGTTGGTTCTTTCCTTCTCCGATGAGGGTCCAGGAGACATAACTCAGATCATCATCGGTGCCCTTACTCTTTGTTGCCTGTCCATCTCCCTGGGGTTTGTGTTCTGAGCCAGCAGCATCTCTGCCTGCCTTGTGCACAATCTATCCACACAGCAGGCAATCAACAGTTACTGAATGGACTCATTATATAACACAGGGTGTGACATCCAGTGCAGCTCCAGTACCTGCTGGGTCTCTCCACTATTTAAGTCAAAGAGGACCTTGGACTTGACACTGACCCATAGCCAGTCTGCCTACACATGTATGCACTGACAACTGTCAGTTTGGCCTGGATAGGGGAGCATCTCCCTCCCAGGTCGGCTTCCTCCTCTGTGGATCCCCTGATCACACAATCTCCCAAGCCCCAGCTTCCAAGGTCTGACTTTATGGTTCCTTTCAGTTCATAGGATGACCTTGACCATGAGAAAGCACTGGCCATAAAAGGAAAGATCCTTGACTCCTTCCTGGATGGTTAACGATTGATAGTAATTAGGAGACAGAGGACTGGAGTGGGCACTCCGCAATGTCAGATCATACTGGGCTCCGGGCGCTTTCAGGTTGTGAGTCAAGTGGGGTCAGTCTGTCACAGGAGGTCATGCATTCGAGGGGTCATTCACCCTGGACTGGCAGCAAAGGCATCGGGTGTGTGCTAAGGGCAGAGCTACCAAATGGGCCCCGGCTGCTGTGAGCTCTGTAGGTGGATTGCCTAGCTACAACTGTGCATTCCTGGGGAGAGTTCCCGTGAGGGAGAAGAGGAAAACACAGAAACCAGGGCCACTCTACCCAGCCTGAGGTCCCAGGAATCCCGGATCCAGGGTGAGTGCTCTCAGCCTGCTGTGTGGTGGGAGGACGAGGGTCTGTGGCAGGAATCACACCAACGGTCTAAGCTCTGTTTAAAATGAAGGGATTTGGTAGAAGGGACAAAGGGACCATGACACCATGCACCATTGCACCATGAATGCAATGTCATGTCCACTAAGTGACATCCAAAGAAAGATAGAGTTTAATTTAATAATGATATTTAAAATAGTATGTGACAGGTACCTTAAGAATAACTGAACTTGGCTATTTCTGGAAATGTTACTTGTACTTTTTTTTTAAAAAATGATCTTATGTGTATGACTGTCTTGTCTGCATGTATGTCTGTGCATCACCCATGTGCAGTGTCCTCAGAAGTCAGAAACCAGAGCTGGCTCTCCTGGAACTAGACTTACAGATGTTTGTAAGCTGCTATGTAGGTTCTAGAAATCAAACCCAGGTCCTCTACAAGAGCAGCAAGTGGTCCTAACAGCCGAGCCATCTCTCCAGCTCCCAATTTTTACTTTGTTTGATTGTTTGTTTAATGGAATAGACTGGATGTCTCTACAATTTTGCTCAGATGACTGCAGAACCTGGAAAAGTTTGTGCTGCTACTGATACATAGTATATTGTTCCTACCATGTTCTCTCTCTCTCTCTCTCTCTCTCTCACTCCCCCCACCCACACAAACCCACAAGTTGCAGGTTTTGAAATTAGTTGTGGGCTGGAGAGATGGCTCAGAGTAGCGCTGACTACTCTTCCAGAGGTCCTGAGTTCAATTCCCAGAAACCACATGGTGGCTCACAATCATCTGTAATGAGATCTGATGCCCTCTTCTGGTGTGTGTCTGAAGCTACAGTGTACTCATATACATAAAATAAACATGTCTTTAGAAAAAATAAAAAGAAACCAGCTGTGCTGTTATCTATGGAAGGAAAGAACCTTGTTTTACTATGCTGAGTTGACAGTGTAGAAAGTCACAGCCACTAGGGCCCACAAACATTAAACTTAATCCCCTCTTGGGAGTAACACACTATATTAAATGCATACAGCCATCATACATGGATTTGATTACAGGAGCTAGTAGACACATCTTTTAAATGCCAATGGATGTGAACAGGTCTATGCTACTGTGGTATCTCAGAGTGGGAGAGCTTGGGCTTTTGGTCTTTATCACAACATTATTATATGTATTATATACATTTAGAACACATATTCCATTTAGATATCAGCCTACATGCACCTTTTTTCTCTTCCTCTCTCCCCCCCCCCCCCCCCGCCGACTCTCTGACATATTCCTGTTCTCCTTCTCACCCCCATCTCCCTCTCCATCTCCATCCTTTGGTCCTTCTTCTTCCATTTCTGTCCCTAACCCTATGCCTCTCTCTTCTGGGAATTTGGCCCAGGAACTCATATATGTTAGGCCGCTCAACCACTGAGATATAGCCCAAGCAGCCATTCATCTCTATACACTTAGTTCCATGAATTAAATATCTCAAATCAAAATTGCTCTTTCAAAAAAAGCATAATATACACCACATTGAAACATGTCTATAAGTGTGCAGAATATACAACATACGAGTGGAGGGATTGAGCTGGACAGATGACAGTGGTTAAGAGCACTGGATGCCTTTCCAGAGGACTGGGGTTTGATTCCCAGCCCTCTGTGGCGTCTCACAACTGCCTGTAATTCCAGTTCCAGGGATCCAACACTCTCTTCTGGCCTCTATGGACATAAGGCATGCAAGCTGTGTACAGACATACATGCAGGAAAACACCCATATATATAAAATAAATACAACTAAAAAAAAATGTAGGTCAGTAGTAGAGTACTTACTCGCCTGTGTAAGGCCCTTGGTTTGATCTCCAGCAATACACACACACACACACACACACACACACACCAAGAAATTACACACATATGCTTTTATGAATGAATGGCATACTCAAAGAAATAAGCACAGAGGTTTTCAAAGTCAATGTCACATTCTGGTATCTAGGTTCTATCACAGTCCTCAGAAGGAGACAGTTTCTGCTACCTAGACCTCAATAATCTGATGTTATTAACCCAGGGGCTGCAACTGACCAGAATTCCTTTTTCTCAGTGCGGTATTCTGAACAGTTAGCTGGGGCTAAATGCAGACTTCATTGGTTAGCCAATCTCATGACTTTGTCTTTTCTATCACATCCCTCCATCAAGGAAGTTGGAAGTAGGCATCTGAGTCCCCAAATGTCTTTAAAACGTCTCTATTTTTAATTTTAATTATGTGTGTGTGTGTGTGTGTGTGTGTGTGTATGAGTATGTGCATGTGTGTGCAGGTACTTGTAAAAGCCGGGAAAGGGCGCTGGATTCTCTAGAACTATAGCACCAGGCGACTGGGAACTGAACTCAGTTCCTTTACAGCAGTGGTTCTCAACTTTCCCAATGCTACCTCCCTTTAATACATTTTCTCGTGCTGTGGTGACGCCCCAACCATAAAATTACTTTGTTGGTACTTCATAACTGTAATTTTGCTGTTGTGAATTGTAATGTAAATACCAGATAAGCAAGATATCTGATATGCAACCCCTGGAGGGGTCATGACCCACAGATTGAGAACTGCTGCTTTACAAGACCAGTGCGTGCATTTAACCCCTGAGCCTCTGTCCAGCCCCCTAAAGGTCTTTCTTCCCACAATTCATACCTACGTAGACACACACATGAATAGTCATATCCAAGAAAGCTGAGCTCTGACACTCGGGTCAAATGATTGTTTTCCAGTCTATCGGTGCTGTTTGTTTTTTCAAGGGGACTTGGTCCTTTGGCTGTCTGCCATTCAGTTGTTTGAGAAAGTTCCAGGCTGTGGGTACAAAGACAGTCTCAGGCAGAATTGTAGACCCTTTGCACGTGGTCCCTCTGCCTTTGGTGGGTCTCGTGAGTGCCCAGAACCTGTTTTCATGACTTATCTATTCCATCCCTTTCTCCTGTTTTATATCTTCAGTTATGTATTTTTAATTTTCTTTGATTTCTGTTTGTCCTTGGTTTCTCAGAGGCAACAATCCTAATGTGTTTAACATGTCTCTTTAAAGATATTCTAGTAAAACATGTGCTGTTTTGTTTGAATGTTTTCAGTTTTGATAAATGGTATAGCACATCCCTCTTGAGGACAGTTAAAGCCTTTATTGCATTTATTTGGGGTGGGGGAATACACCCATGTCACGGCACATATGTAGAGATCAAAGGACAATTGGTGAGAATTAGTCCTCGTCTTCCACTATGAGGGGCCTGGGAATCGAACTCAGTTTAGCTATTTGCTGAGCTTGTTTCCCTATCTAGGATTAAAATTTTCATCACAAGTGTTTTGTATTCTTGGTTAGATTAATCTATCAGGATTTTCAACTTGCAGCCCACAGGCCACATGCAGTCGAGAATAGCTAAACATAAGGTTTTAAAATTTGGGATTATAAAGTCCTTGTAGATGACAAGAACCTGCAGAGTAGTCAGGGGTACCAGATGCTGGCCAAGGCCTGGACTACCCAGTACAGTAGCCGTCAGCCACATATTGTTACTGCCCCTGAAATGAGGCTAGTATCAAAAAATGCAGCCGGGCGGTGGTGGACGCACGCCTTTAATCCCAGCACTTGGGAGGCAGAGGCAGGCGGATTTCTGAGTTCGAGGCCAGCCTGGTCTACAGAGTGAGTTCCAGGACAGCCAGGGCCACACAGAGAAACCCTGTCTTGAAAAACAAAAACAAACAAACAAAAAAAAGCAAAACACCTCAATATTTTTACATCACATAATGTGATTTCAATCACATTGAAATAATACTTCAAGTGTACTGTCTTGGAAAAATAACGTCACGTCACCGTTTCTTTAAGTAAGTACAGAAAATCTTGGGTGACGTAATGCAGCAGGAAGATTCACCTGCTTTATTTCCCAGGGACAAAACCAGGCTCACGCTACGGGACCATCTCAGGGAGAGTGGTTCATGCTCTTCTCTTGCCAACAACAGAAACCATTTCTGGTCCTTATCCCCATCCTACCCCATGCCACTTACACTACGGAAAGAAGAAAGGCTTACCAATGCAGCCTAGTGCCCCGCAACTGCCTTTCTAGGACTCTTCCAGCTTCTTGCCCATAGGAGGCAGCAGCGTGTCGATCCCCAGAGGGAGACTAAGCTAGGCTAGATTTCTGGGCGTGTGAAAAGACACTGGCCTGTGATTGGCTACGGGGAGTAGGCGGGGGGGGGGGAGCGGGGGAGTGCGGAGGGGAGAGATGGGTCACATTAAAAGTGAAATGGAGTTGCCTGGCTGGCAGAAGCGGAGTTTAGGGGAAGGTGTCAATTGCAAGGGCTCTCTCAGTCCGCCAGGGGCTCAGCCTCACACTGGCCTATCTATGCCCCTTCCCTGCACTCTATGAATTTTTATAGATTTGAATCGCTCCCTCCTCTGTAGTTTCTGACTTCAGACCCCTCCTGCTCCTAAGATCACATTCTTATTTTATCTATGTATTTATCTATCTATGTATCTATCTACTAGCTATCATGGACAAAACCCCCACAAATCTCACTTCAAAGCCAAATGTAAGTGTCCATGGCCCAGGAACACAGATCTCAGTTACTCTAAATATCACATTCCAAGTAGTAGCAGTTTCATGATGGGTTATTGTTGTTTTGAGATAGGGAGCCCTGGCTGTACTGGACCTTGCTGTGGTGAACATGCTGGCCTTGAACTCACAGGGATCCTCCTGCCTCTGGCTCTCAAGTGCCTCATGACGTTTTATGGTAATAGGACAATGAAAAGCACAAGTTAAGACAGTTTCTATGTGCATCACTAAAAAGCATCAGGGTACACAAAAGCAGCATCTGCTGTAGTCCCAGACACTCTAGGACCGCATTCTTAGTCTCCTGAATGGTACAAGCTAGAGGTCTGTTTGCTAAAGGACGTGCCTGATAGTCACAAAGATGCTAGGTCAGACCTGGAGAAGAGTAATAAATGGTTACCGAGGGGACTAGAGACGGCTCAAGATAATTTGGTTCTGAATTTGTAACATTCCAACCTTTCCGAAGACAGGTTCTAGTCAGTGACCTGCCTTGTAAGGTGCGCTTCTTTCAAGGGACTGTCACTCTGCCTGCCTGTCGATTGTTTACTGTGACATGGTGTCTCTGTGTACCTCATGCTGGCCTGGTCCTCCCCATGTTACCCAGGCCTTGAACTAGCCTAACAATCCTCCTGACTCTTGAACATCTCCAGTGGACTCACTGCCACACTCAGGCCTGCTCCGGCTAGGGAATGGGTTGAGGTGGGTCACCAACACCAAAATACTGGTGATCTCCAACCTTATAGGAAGCTTAGCTCTTATTTTATAATTCTCTGTGCCTGAATAAACACTGACTTCTGGTAGTTAACATATGCTGTATGGCAGTGGGGGAACTGGAGCTATTAACTCTTTGTGAACCGGGAAAAGAAAGTCACACTTGCAGCAAGAAAATATGCACACACACACACGCACACACACACACACATTCCAAGCCCTCTTTCTATCCTAATGCAATGAACCTGTGACACATAAAGGTTTACAAAGCCCTAGTTGCAGCCTTCATATTGTAGAGGGCTCAAAACTACCTATATAAATTTAAGAAGTCTATGGAATCATTATTAGGAATTATGAAATCATCAATTTGTCTACATAGCATTGCTACAAGACAAGACATCTTTGATGATCTGCAGAATATCTGCCCAATAAGGTGAGCTAATGCCCAGGAATTATTATACTATTTTAATAATGATAGGAAAGGCATACCAGCTGCAAGAAGCAATCCTGAAATGAAATCCCTTTGGGCCTTGCCATACATACAATGGGCCATCTCCAGGAAGGTCACTCGCATGCCTTTAGCCTATCCTAGATGGTTCCTGCCATGGCTCAGGCTCCTTCAGCCCTAAACCTGTGGGCTATAGAGCTGCTGGTTTGGAGAAGGAGGACAGGTAAATCAAGGGTACTTCCTGATGTTTCTGGAGTTGTCTGCTCAGAGGCCAGGACCTGGAAGGCCAAGTGGGCAGCTGGGACCTCAAGACTTGTCTATTCACAGGCCAGAAACATCTCAACCAGTAGCAGGAACATGGACCACAGTGCAGAGGGAGCTGCAGTCAGAGCCGAAGTGCCCCAGGAACTGCTGGAAGAAATGCTTTGGTATTTTCGTGCAGAAGATGGTAGGTGATGGTGGGTAGGCAGGGCAATTCATCACTGTCTATCATTCTCCACTTCCTTTTCCTCAGGGTATGGGTGGCCCACTCTCTATCACCTCTACTATTTATTAAGTTAGTTGTACTGTGTGCCAGGCACTGTCCCTAGCACTGAGATACAGCAGTGAGCAAAACACAAGTCTCTGCCTACACAGAGTGTCCATTCTAGTAGAGGAGACAGAAAATAAATCAACAGCTAAGAGAATAACATGTTCTTAGTGTATAATAAAAAAGAAGCAAGCTGGCCAGTGATGGTGGCTCGTGTCTTTAATCCCAGCACTCAGAAGACAGAGGCTGATGGATCTCTGTGCGTTCGAGAAAGAAACCCTGTCTTAGAAGAAGAAGAAGAAGAAGAAGAAGAAGAAGAAGAAGAAGAAGAGGAGGAGGAGGAGGAGGAGGAGGAGGAAGAGGAGGAGGAGGAGGAGGAGGAGGCTGGAGAGATGGCTCAGGGGTTAAGAGCATTGACTGTTCTTCCAGAGGTTCTGAGTTCAATTCCCAGCAACCACATGGTGGCTCACAACCATCCGTAATGGGATTCAAAGCCCTCTTCTGGTGTGTCTAAAGACAGCTACAGTGTACTCATATATATAAAATAAATAAATAATTCAATAATAATAATAATATAATAATAATAAGAAGAAGAAACAGCAGCAGCAAGCTGGGAGTGGTGGCACAGACTCTCGACCCTAGCTATTCAAGAGCTTCAGCCACAAAGAGCACAAGTTCAAGGCCAGCCTGAGCCACATGGTGAACTGAAGACCAGCACAGGCAACGTAGTGAAACCTTATTTTAAAAGTTTTGGCCCTCCGTGGTGGAGTGCCTGCCAGGCGTGTGAGAAATCTTAAACTGAACTCTCAATATGGCATGGGGTGTGGGGATTATGCAGCAAGAAAGACAATGTAATCAAGGAAAGTCTCACTAACAGAACATTCTGGTAAAGGCTTGGAGTCTGTCACAGTCTGACACCCGGCGCACGCACCACCCAGTCTGCCACTTCAACAACAGTAACAGTAAATGCATCCAGTTAGGCTGTGATTACTCCATCCCTCACCCCTCCTCCTTCTTTTCCTAAAGGCAGTATAAAATTGAAGACTGAAATTCTAGTTTCCTCCTTGCCGCTCACACCTCCTTTACCCAGTCATTATGCAAACATAGCACCGTCCCCCCCAATCCCGTTCCCCCCCGCCCCCTTTTCCCCTCCGTAGGATCAGGGCTGGTCCAGGGTGGAAACCCTGTCTCCATCCCAACCCCACTGGTCAGTTGGAGAGTTCTCCTAAAGCAAGGGGTCTTGATGGGAGTCTCCATAAAAGGAACAAATGATTCTCTGAGATGGGCCTGAGCCCAAGCTCCAGCTATGAATGGGTCTGAAGGCCCCTGGCCTCTGCTCAAGGGTCTCTCTCTCTGTGTGTCCCTCCTCAGCGGCTCCTTGGAATTATTCCATCCTGGTTCTGGCAGTCCTGGTGGTGGCCATAAGCATGTACCTCCTGAGAAGGAGCATCCTGGCAAACAGGTGAGGGGTTGGTTAGGTGTGGGTCTCCATAGGGAGCACTGGGGCTTCCTTTCTAGATCTCAATCTAAGCCGGAGTCACGTTAGTGAAACTAGCTCTTCAGCTTTTGAGGGCTGTCATCCAGGACCAAAGCTATGAAACAAACCACCCAGCAGCTGCCCCTCCCCCACTATCCCCTATCCTCAGCCAGTAAGTCCGAATGATCCAGAAGGGTGTCACCCTTTATAACCCTGGACCCTCTTAGCCTGTCAGAAAGCATCCCTTTCAGCAAACTCAACTGAGAGACAAGGTGCTATCCACAGGAACACAGATCTGCTCTCCTGTGGGCCAGGAACTTAGTTCCTTCCACTGTGGCCAGGATATCCAAGAAGTTCCTTGGGTAAACCAGCTTAGAGAAAGGAGAGACTTTCAGGGATTACTAGAAAGACTGTCAGGTGGAGGAAGCAGTGGGAGTCAGGTGTAGGATTGTGTCTTACATGCATGTCCAGTGGTGTGGATAAACCTGTTTGGAGAAACAGGTAGGGTAAGAGATAGAAGGTTAGTTAGGGATTTCTGGCAGCATCGTAGGGATAGAGTCTGCCAGGTGAAGACCTGTACTAAGTATGATGACCTCCCTGGGGTCAGGATAGTGTGCTTTGGTGAAAGGTCACAGGGCTCAGAATAGGCAGACTTAGATGTGTGATACAGGTATGTGCTTCATTGGCCTCCGACACCATGTTTGCTCATCTCTAAGAGGAAGGGCTGGCAATCAAAGCTTAGCTCCCAGGTGGCCTTGCAGTGGGACAATAGATGCAAGAGTGGGAGCCATTGGGAGCCACTGTCACTTCTGAACAGAGGAGCTCCCCTCAAGCTAACTACTGGCCCCTGACCCAACCACTCAGTATCCCCCCCCCCATCAATACTATTTCTTCTCCTCCTAGAAATCGAAAGAAGCAGCCACAAGACAAAGAAACTCCAGAAGACCTGCATCTAGATGATTCCAAAATGAAGGAGAACAGCAGCCTGGGTATCCTAAAAGAGACACTTATCTCAGAGAAGCCGGACTTGGCCCTGGGGGAAACTGAGCTGAATGAGAAAGACACCTCACTAGTCTTTCTACCAGAAGCACAGGAAACGGAGAGCTAGGGAGCATTGAGGGGACCATGCAACCTCAGCCAGACACATGACTGTGATCTGATCTCAGCTCTGTGGCCTCAAACCCCTTAGGTTAGACAATACCCCACCAAGCCACCTAACTTATTTTTAGCAGACCCAATAAACAAACTACAATCAGATGAAAATTTGTTATTTAAAAAAAGTCCTTTATTCAAATGCTTCTCCAGGTGGGCAGCTGGAATTGTGTACTGGGTTCGAATGATGGTGTCTACAAAGCACACACAAGGGGCTTGCATCGAAAGTACAAAGTTCAGCCGTGCGAGGTGGAAGCCTTTAATTCCAGCACTCAGAAGGCTGAGGCAGGTGGATCTCTGTGAGTTCAACTCTAGCCTGGTTTGCATAGCAAGTTCCAGGAGCCAGACCTACATAATAAAGTGACCCTATCTTAAAAAAAAAAAAAAAGTATAAAGTTCAGAGCTGGCCTTTGATCACAACAAAGGGCCAGAACTTGCAGCATGTGCTCTTGAGTAGATCAGGGCCTCCCTCTGACCTCAGCTTCTCCAGCTGACCTCAGCTTCTCCCTCTGACCTCAGCTTCTCCCTCTGACCTCAGCTTCTCCCTCCGACCTCAGCTTCTCCCTCCGACCTCAGCTTCTCCCTCCGACCTCAGCTTCTCCCTCCGACCGCAGCTTCTCCAGCTATAGACTTGAGCTGAAGACTGGGTTAGAGATAATCTTGATTCAAACTCCTGGGCTGCTGTCTGGGAGCCAAAGGAGCTGGTTTCCTAGGGTGCCCAGCCTAGGCCTTCTCATGCCCGACTCCTGAGCCTGCTCATCCAGAGTTTGTGGTAAACAATAAGAAACAGCTGTAGCCCCTGACTTTGACAGACTTCTCACACCTGAGTCTTGATAAAACACGAAATAGTTTATGTAAAATTCTGCCTTATTAACCCCATGCTTTGGGATCTGGCTTGCCAAAATAGGCTTTGAACAATTCCATCGTTGAGGGTCCTAGGTCCAACCAAACCAGACTGCACTTACTTAACAGTGGACAGACCAATGGTTCCCACCAGAGGATGTCTGATCCTGTCAGCTGTGAACTCCTTGAGGACTGTCACTGGACTTTCTGTCATCTTGGTCATTAAGCTCGAGAAGGGTGGTCCTGGGGGGGTCTACTAACAAAGTGCTCATAATAGTCCCCCAATGCTGGTGAAAAACAAGGTTGGAGGCTGTCAAGCCCAGACAACCCTCAGTCCCTCTCTGCACCCTTCATTTAGAGGCAAGTGCGGAAGGGCTCTTGTCCAGATTTCTTTGCTCTATCCAAGCCTCCGCACAGGATTATTTTAACTAGAATTTTCTCGGATAAACTTTGGACCTCTGAATAGCTGGAGTACCTCTTTCTACCAGCAGGTGATGGTAGGATCTCTGGGACAGCCATCCTGTAGATTGTTAGCAAGTCTTCACATAGGCAAAGCCTCTTTGAACAGGGGCTGCAGCTGGTCTGGCAGTGGCTGGAGCAGGAGAGTCATGACACAGGATTTGTACTGCAGATCCCCTCTGCTTGCAGCTGACTCCAGGACTCCTGTCTGTAACAGGGGCAGCTTCCCTCCAGGGTGGTGGATGCAGAGGTTACCATGGAGCCCAAGCCCTTGCCTGGCAAGGAAGTAGGGTGAGGCAGACAGGAGCAGCCTCCCTGCCTGTCCCTCTGGCTCACATAGTGAGCACGTAGGGACCCTGCTTGGTGCTGGAGGTGGAATCTGCTATCTACCAGAGGGTAAGGGCCATTGGTTCATCCGAGTGCAATCCAGCCCATTCCCTGCAGCCCCAAGCATCAGCTGAGCCTAAGGTTCCTGCAGAAGGAGCCTCAGAAGATCTTGAAGCCCTTCAGTAGAGTCAAGGTGGGTGCCTTGCGCTTGCTCTGGGCACGAGATGATTTCACAGTGACCAACTTGGCCTGGGCCACAGTGGGCATCTCCTTCAGACTGGCAGTGGAGAGAGTGTTAAAAGTACAGCTGGCCAGCCCATGCCGGGCTGTGAGCGGGGTCTGATGGGACAGGGCTTTCTCCTCAGAGATGAAGAGGGGCCGGGCCAGGGGACTCTTCTCCAGCTCTCGTCGTGCCTCGCGCACAGCCTCATGGAAGACATGCTGCACATGCTCAAAGTCCAGGCAGGCAGAGACCTCAAAAAACAGGCACCCGAATCTGCCTGCCAACGCTACACCTTCGGCCTTGGTGACTTGCCTGGAGAGAAACCAGGGTGAGGCAGTCAGGAGAATGTCATTGCAACTCAGGCAGAAAGGGTCCCACACCAGTGGTCTGGACCCATCTTCATCCTCTGAGTCTGTTTGCTCATCAGGATCATAGTACCCACCACTGTTAGAGGCTGTAAGGACTAAGACAACTTGCATGGAGTGCTTAGCATAGTATCTGCTACAGACTCAGCCCTCGATTGCCAAAGCTGGAATTTAGGAACGAATACGAGGAAGAGAGAAAGGCCGAGTCAAATTCTCCCATGCTAGACCCTGCCTGTGGCCAGATGAAGAAGGCCATGGCCCACCTCCTCAAGAAATGGCCACCCTCAGCTTGAGGGACTAGTAGTAAAAAAGCAGTTATTTGCAATGAAGGGGTAGCACCCCTCAGATTACTAGGGAAGCCTGTGACTGGCAGACTCTTGGTGCTCATAGATGATTTGTCTGCTTGTCCAGCCGAGGGCCAACAGAGAACAGCGACGAGGGTGTGATATCACTGAGGGCTGTCCTCACTCCCATGTGACTGGATAAGTGTTTGCAAGTGGAGGGTCAGGGTCCGTAGGAGCTTCTGACTGGAACCCACGGAAATGGAGGTGGAGAAAAAAAAAAAAAAAGAAGACTGGCTCTTGTTCAGAGTAGGGAGGGTTTTGAGGCCAAGGTTGCCCCTTGGTTGAATCCTGCTCACCACCACCACCCACTGATGAGCTGCCCCAGGCACCATTCTTTAGGACCACGGCACAGCCCAAGATGGGAGGGGATGCCAGGGTAAGAAACAGTGGGAAAAGCCTCTGGGCCAAGGCTGACTTGGCAGGAGCAAGGGGTCGGGAGACATGCTGTGCCACAAAACTCTAACCTGTTTGTTGGTGCTGTACTCAACTGAAATGGAGGCGGGGCAAACCACCATGTGTCAAACCCAGGGAACAGGCCTGTTCACTCAAGTCCTAGATTCCTGGTTACTCACTTGCAAACCATTCCTCAACAATCGCTTTTGTAAACATTGGGATCAAAGCAATATTCTGTAGACACACACACCATTCTGAACACTATCTAATCATACACAATCCAGTCTTCTGATCTCTCAGGTTCCAAAGTAATTCGGAGACCACCTTCAGTGACTCACCCACTGTATAACTTCCCTAATTCCCCAAGATGCAATTTTTCCTGGGGTGAAGGTTGGACCACCCATGCAGAAGGCCCCCATACCACCATGGTTACCTTTCAGGAAACCACAACTCTCTCCTCCCTCTGCCCGTGTGACCTATTCTGAAAAAAAACCACAACATCGATCCCTGGGCCTCAGGGAGAACAAGAACGAGAGCAGAGGGGACGAGTGGAAGGTGCCACGCCTAGCAGGTGTGCTGGATACAAGGGGCAATGTCCACACTGGAGAGTTTTCAGTGGGATTGCTCAAGTTTAGGCCTCCGTGTCAAGGACCTTAAGGCCAGGCTGGTGACTTGGATGTGTGGAGAGGGTGGAGGTAGAAGCCACAGGGAGTGGCAGGCCTGCGGTCAGCTGAAGGGAGAGGCCCCACCTTAGAGCATTCCAAGTCAAAGTCATTTAAAACATAGTGTCAGCCAAATAAAATACGGCTGTAGTATTCTATGGTGACCTGCCCTCTGGCCCAGTCTGTGACCTCTGGTTCAAATCCAACCCTTTCTAAGAGAGACCTGCCTTCAGCAGCCAACCGTGGCAGCAAGCCTGAGATACTATGCCTGGACCACAGCAGTCACCTGATCCAAGGAGCAAATTAGACCCTCTCCTTGGGATTGGAGTTGGTCACTAAATGGCTAGTCAGCTGCTGGAAGACAACCAGAATGTCACACAGCCTCAGGCAAGGCTGATGCAAGAGACCACTGAGACACCTGAAAGGAAGGAGTGCTAGTTTTGCCTTTTGGGGGTCCAGTCCATGTCCTAAGCAGCCCAGGTACCTTTCCCTTCCTGTCTTTGGCTGCCTAGAAGACTCCCAGTCTCTTCTCCCAACACGGTTCTTTTATCCGAAGTTGAGAGCACTTGCCACCCTGCATTCGTACGCAGGCAAGCTCTAGAGAAGAGGGCCAAGAGGCCTGCACTCACCTGTACTGGGCCATGTCGAGTTTGTTGCCCAGCAGCAGGGCAGGGTAGCCACGCTGTGTCTCCTTGGCATGCAAGGCCAACAGCTCTAGGTAGCTGCTGCTGCCCTCGAAACTCTCGCGACTATCGACGCTATACACCACCAGGAAGGCATGGGCCCAGTTCAGGTAGCGCTCACAGTTCCTGGGGGTGTCCTGGAGTAAGAGAGAGGACCCTAGCTGAGAGGCAGAAGAACTTGGTGGTGGGGGGGGGGGGCAAGAAGGCCTTCACCTGGGCTGCCCCTTCTACCTCGGAGTCTTTGTATATTGTTCCCCAACAGATCTCTTTTCAAAGGAGCACTTCAGTGTTGATTTGGCTTGGTGTGAAAAGAGACATTGTGTCAGGAACCTCCCTCCCACCACCCGGCCAGAGACTTGGAGACCTTGGCCACTTGGGCACCCAGTCAAAGGTTCTGGCACGGCCCTCCCAGGACCTGCTGTACCTGAGTACTCCTGGTTTCAGGTCAGGTCGACCCTGCCCCTTTAGCCTCTGAGAATTGACTCCAGCAGTGGGTAGAGAGGACACAAAGATCTATGTTGGGGAGACTTGGGTTCACAGGCTCTCTGGAAGTGCTTGCATAAACAGGCATATCTTACATCTTAAGATATCTGGGCAGATGTCAGTGATCACCCTTCTCATTTGGCAAATGAAAGATTCAGGCCCAGAAAAGTCAATAGTCCCACTCAGGGGCACAGAGCAAACTGTAGCCTAAAGGGTTCCAGATTCCCTTGTGAGTTCAGGACCTGGAAGGGCTGTACTGATCATCTGCTCTCTCTGGGGGATGGAGGGAGTGGGGAAAAGGGTCGGGAGAAGGGTTAATGTTACCAGGTCTGCAGTGTCCATGACCCTCAGGTGCACAGGTTGGTGGTCCACAGTCTCCTCAGAGCTGTAGGTGTCCTCTGCAACACAGATAGTCAGCCAGGTCAGCAGCATGGCAGGCCACACAATAAAGGACAAGGTCAATGTCCCAGCTCCCTCCTGTGCTGGACTCTCGTGTAGCCTTGACTGGTCCTTGGGAGCTGCAACCAGGTTACCGTCCCTCTTTGTTTGTCAAGCTGGAAGTGTCAGAGGCCACTATATACCATGCCTGGGGATAGGCTGTTTCTGGATCCATGCACAAAGTTTGTGGCTCATAGATTCAGCAGCTGAGGGTTGGCATTTCCTCCAGGAATTTCAATTTTCCCTTCCCAGCACAGGACCTGGCCCACAGGGAATCCCCAAAGACTTCTTCCCTCAATAGGAGACAAAGGAAAAGAGAAGCTTCTGATATGAAAGGGAGAGGGCAGCCAGAAGCCCCTGAGCTAGCACATTTAATCTCCCTGTTTTCCAGGACTGTGGAAAGACTATTTAGGACTCCAGGCTTGCTGTCCAGCTCATAATAAATATCTAGAAATGGTGGTGAGGAATGTGAAGAAGCTCTAGAGTTAAGAGGACAGATACACATTCCCAGGTAATTATTTTCTCCTTTTGTTTCTGTTTATTTGGGTGAGGATATGGTGTCTGTGTGTGTACATGTCCGTGTGTAGGTCAGAGTTTGACATCTGTGTCTTCTTCCGTCTCTTTCCATCTTATTATTTTTTTATTCAGAGCTGAGGACCGAACGCAGGGCCTTGTGCTTGTCGGGCAAGCGCTCTACGGCTGAGCTAAATCCCAGATCCCTCCATTTTATTATCTTTAAAAGAGGTTTTACACTTATTTTTATTTATGTGCCTGTATGGTCTGCTGGTGCCCGAAGAGACCAGAAGAGAGCACTGAATTCCTTGGCACTAGAGTTTTAGGTAGTTGTGAGCATCCTATATGGATGCTGGAAACAGAACCCAAGTCCTCTGGAAGAACACCAAGTGCTCTTAACCACTGAGCCATCTCTCCAGCCCCACCCCTCTACCACTCTTTTTGAGCCATGATCTTTCACTGAACCTGAAGCTCACCAGTTCATCCTGAGTTCTAGTGATCTACCTATCTCTGTTTCCCCAGATGCATGCCACCAGACCTCGATTTTGACCCGGGTGCCGGATGTCCGAACTCAGGCCCTTGTGCTCACGCAGCGAGCACTTTACTGACTGAGTGATCTCCGCAGCCCCCACAACCCATTTGTTTTCCTAGAGAAATAATTTTAAACTCAAATAGAAGTTACTAACTCACACAGTTCCTGCATGCTCTTCATCCGCTTCCCTCGGCGTCAACACCGCTTCCCACAACGTTACCGCCTTAGATAATAGCCGCAGTGCAATCGCCAAACCAGGAAATTGATGATGGTTCTACACTAGGAACTAAATTACTGACCTTATTTGGATTTCACCAGTTTGTGTTTTGTTTTTCTTTTTTTAGTTCTTATGACTTTAAACCCAAGAAATCAGAATGTGGTCAGGCATATCACAGGGTGACCCTTCTAGGCAAAACTGAGGTGCTCTCTGCCTTCCAGGCAGTGGCCACTCTGAGAACACCACCCTTACCCCGGGGGGAAATACAGTCACACACTTCTCTCTGACGACCGCTGGCAGTCAAGCAGGCCTGGACACATGCCAGGTCCACTAACATCCAACTTGAGTCACAGACAGCTCCTCGTCGCCGGCCCTCTTTGGGGACTTGGATAAATAGCTGCTCTTATCCAAAGAAGAAGAAGGAAAAAAAATAATGGAAAATATGTTCCAAATGCTTAACTATATTTGGCCCAAGAAGAGCTGTTGCTGGATGCCTAACTTGTGTTCATACTTCTTATTTTTCTGCCAAACTTGTCTTTTAGGCACTGACCCGAAACAGGCAAAGTCCTGCCCAGCCCAGTGATAAGTGTTACTCTAACCTTAGTCTTCCTGGTATTCCTGTTACCCAAGAGGCTAGCATATCATCTGTCAGCTCCGCTGTAGAAAGATGACAAGGTTGTTTTGGGAGGCTGAGGCAGGAGGATTGCAAGGTCAAGCCTTGCCTGGGCTTGAATGAGTTCAAGACAAGTCTGAGCAATGTAGTGAGACCCTGTTGTAAAACTGGGGTGGGGTGGGGGGCTGGGGATACAAGTCAATGGTAGAAGGTTTACCTAGCATGCATGGTAGACACACTGAATTCATTTAATTCCACTAACGAGGTGTGGGAGTGGGTAACTTGAACTTAGGCCTTCTGGGCTGCCTTTCCACTGTGACTCCCTTGCTCCCTGACTAATGATGGATCTGATGGTCTTCCAACTACGTCTGACATAAAGTATCCTATTTAGTAGGAGTTCTAAAGAATTGTAGAGATACGCAAGTTGGATGAAGCCTCAGGCCATCCGTTGACTGGCCTCAGGAGATGGAATGGCAGGTTCTCACCCAGGCATAGTGATGTAGAGCCTATCTTGACCCTGGGGACTTCAGTGTCTTTAAAATAGTAATTTTACAAAAGGCATCAATGAAGGTATGTATGATTGTACATCAGGTGGCACCTCAGACAGGACGAGTGTCCTTGTCCTTGCAGGACTAGGATGAAGGTAAGTGAAGTAAGAAGTTGACATTGTCCCTATAGGAGCCACAAAAGAATACTGACTGGAGCCCCTTGCCCACCCAGGGCAAATGCCTTCTATGCAGAGCCTAGCAGCTCCAGCCACAACCCACGAGACACAACTCGAACACTGGATTGTTCCAGTCTCAGCCTCCATATGGGGAAACTGAGGCTCAGAGAGCCCAGGACCTCACACACCTCCACCTCTGGACCCATAACTTTAGTTCACAGGAAATGGAGAAACTCCTCCTTCCTTTGAACCTGAGGGGGCTCTGTGATGTTAGGAGACTCACCGAGTCCACTCTACCTTGGTTTCTTTCTTAGAAAATGGAGATGATGATAATTCTTTTTTGTTTGTTTGGGGTTTGTTTGTTTGTTTGTTTGTTTGTTTGAGACAGGGTTTCTCTGTGTAGCCCTGGCTGTCCTGGAACTCATTCTGTAGACCAGGCTGGCTTCAAACTAACAGAGATCCACTTCTCTCTGCCTCCTGAGTGCTGGAATTAAAGGTGTGAGTCACCACAGCCTGGCTGATAGTAATTAATTGAAACAGAATTCAAAAGCAATTCAATCCACAGGACAGACCATCTAAGCTATAGCTAATACCACACATCAGGCTGAAAATGGGGATGCCATTCCACCTCAAAGAGTCCCAATGTGTGCTCAGGCTCCTGGGATACCCTGCAAAAAGCTAAAAAGCTGTTTTAGCCACTTGTTCCTGAGGCACACCCTCTTCTTGTATGTCCAGACTTTTCTCCATAGGAGAGGCTTGGGTCTCCCAGTCTGGCCTACTCAGGTGTTTGAACCAGGAGCAGGTACCTTCCAGCTAACAGGCTCTCAGGAGAACAAGAGGCCAAAGACTGAGGTGATTAAACATTCTAGGCTGCTGTCTGTCCCCCCACCTCAGACATTCTGACCACATGTTCCATCATCAGATCAGAATTCCAAAATTGCTCAACCAGGAAGCTCAAAACACCACTGTACCAGGATCATCTGATGGGATCCCATGGAAGGGTATGAAGGGAGAGCAGGGAAGAGGAGATGTTAGAAATGGATGATGAGAAAAAAATAAATACAGGTGCTGGCGGTGCAGCCAGCTGCTGGAACATGCACAAAGCCTTGGGTTCAATCAGCAGCACAGAATAAACCAGGCACGGTAGCACACACCAGCACTTAAGTGGATGCAGGAGGATCAGAAGCTCAAGGCCATCCTTGACCACACTGACAGTTTAAAGGCTAGCTTGAACTACATGACAACCAGTCTCAGAATAAAAACAGTAACTGTAGCTCTGAGACTCTTCCTCCTCTGTATTCTAGTCTAGCATGAACTGTTAGCTATTGGGGGCAATACTGCAAAATGGGGCCTTATCTTGTGACCCAGAATCCTGTGCATCTTTTCGGGGGTGGGGGTGGGGGTGGGAGGGTGGCCTTGGGACACCAGCACTTTATTTGATTTTAATGAATGGGAAAACAACATCACTTTCAAAGACATTTTGCTGTTCTCAGGACAGTTTACAAATAGAAGTAAACATGAGCTAGAAGTGGCTTTGGTGCTGATCAGATTCTAATTTTGTCTGTCTTGGGCATCAGTTTCCCATTAGGGTATTAGGGTTTATTTTAGAGGACGTTCCTTCTGTTAAAAATAAGTTTCACAGCCCAGGTCTGATGAACGTGAGGGACCCTGGGGAGTATACGTGGGGAGCCATCTGAGGGAGAAGGAAATATTCTCCGAGAGTCTGCTGGGGTCACACACAAGCCTAACATGCACCATTTCTTTAAACCTCACAGCAATTCTGTTACAGCTATGCCTAGGCTCCTCTGGCAGATGAGAAAATAGTAGCTCAGAAAGGTTAAGTGACTGTCTCAAAGTTACCCAGCCAATAAATCCAGCCAGCATCCAACTTAGCAACACCCAAAGTTAGCTTTATACAACTAAGTGCAGGAAGGGATGGACAAATGGTTTCAGTGGTTGAGAACACTTGTTACTCTTGCAGAAGACTCAGGTTCCATTCCCAGCACCCACATCGTGGTTCACATTCATCTGTCACTCCAGTTCCAGGGAATCCAGTGCCCTCTTCTGAGCTCTGTTGGGATCAGGCACACACATGGTGCACAGACATACATGCAGCCAAAACATTTATATACATAAAATACAATAAATTTAAAATTATAAAACAAAACAAATTCTTCCTGATTCAAAGAATGTCCAGCACCAATAGAAAATCCCTTAAATAGTATGTCTGGCTGTCCCGCGAAGAACACTGAGTGAACATTTTGAATAACTGTGCCTATTTGGATGTGGACATTCTGCTAATTTAAGAAAAACATTCTTCTAAAGTCTCGTTGCACCGCATATTTTAGGGCAAACAGTCTCAGTTCTTTGAGCTGGACTAGCCCCCTCCCCCAGTTGTCTGGTGTGCACTGAATCAACTCAAGAATCCTCTTCTCCCCTAAGATCCACAAGGCCCACCCATGGGGAGCTCCCGGGGGACCATCCAGGTGGGGCCCAGGCAGCAGGAAACCCAGGGAAGAGTTGCTTCTTACCCAGATTGGGATCATATTCGCTGATAAACCTCTTGGTGAGAAACTTCACAGTCAGGGCTGCAAGAAGAAAGAGGTAGACTCAGGCTCCTGCCGCATCTGAAGCTGAGGTCACTGTCCCTGTCGCTATATGAAGACCCAACTGACCTCTGTGGTCTCTGCTGACACCAAGCTTGGCTCTCCAAAGGCCCCAGGCTGCAGAGCGGAGGAATTGGCTCAGAAGACATAGGAATAGGGTGCCAAGCCCCACTAACTGCACACACCCTGGGATTAGTTTCTAAAAGTTTCTGTGAGCATGAAAGTCTGCAAGAAGCATGTTTAAGAGTATTTCTGGGCCGGGCGGTGGTGGCGCACGCCTTTAATCCCAGTACTTGGGAGGCAGAGGCAGGCGGATTTCTGAGTTCGAGGCCAGCCTGGTCTACAGAGTGAGTTCCAGGACAGCCAGGGCTACACAGAGAAACCCTGTCTCGGAAAAAAAAAAAAAAAAAAAAAAAGAGTATTTCTGGCCGGGCGGTGGTGGCGCACGCCTTTAATCCCAGCACTTGGGAGGCAGAGGCAGGTGGATTTCTGAGTTCGAGGCCAGCCTGGTCTACAGAGTGAGTTCCAGGACAGCCAGGACTACACAGAGAAACCCTGTCTCGAAAAACAAACAAACAAACAAACAAACAAACAGAGTATTTGTGAACAACCTAATCCAGGGTCAAGCCCGTACTTTCTAGTTATCCTGAAATCTGGTGAGTCCACCAACTCAAGGGACACATCCCCCACCCTTGAACAGGTCTCACTGATTTTTTAGTATTTATTCCAGCTTTGGCTATAAGCCAGAGACAGTAAGCCAGTGGTTTTCAACCTGTGGGTCACGACCCCTTTGGAAGTCAAATAACCCTTTCACAGAAAACACAGATATTTACATTATGATCCATAACAGTAGCAAAATTACAGTAATGAAGTAGTAACAAAATTAATTTTATGGTTGAGGGTCATGAGGAACTATATTAGGGCTGTAGACTTAGGAAGGTTGAGAACCACTGCAGTCAATGAAGATTGGACTGGCAATTGCCGAGAAGAGTCTGACACACACACCCCCACCTCCGCCCTAGAACAGGAGTTTCCAGACAAGGTCCATGACGGACTATGTCCCAAGTAAACACACTCTAGTCTGGGTCCTCTACGCCTTGGGCTTTGGCTCTCGGTGGGACTTCCACACCCCTCTTGGTTACCTCTTGAAAATGTAAGACTTGAAAAAGTAGTTCTTTTTCCCTTGTAGCGTGAACTAACAGGATTGCTTCTGTTCAGAGCTCGGCGCATAAAGGCAAGAGTCAGCCAAATATATTATGCTAGATTCTTGATAGGATTAAAAATAAACATAAGATTCTTTTTAAAGATTCCTAACACTGCCATTTGGCAAACTACTAGCCAGGGAATACGTATTTTAAACTTTCTGGCGCTGAAACTGTTACCCAGTTGGTAGAGTGCTTGCCTACCCTGCGTGAAGCCCTGGGTTCCATCCCCAGGTTTACCAGTACCAAGAATGGTGGTGCACATTTACAAACCCAGCGCTTGGAAGAGGAAGGCAGAAGATTCAGGAATATATGGCTATCCTTGACTTCATAACAGGTTCTGGGACACCCTGTGCTACATGAGACTGCATCAAAAATAAAAATGAATTCCTTCATCCATGTAGTCACTATCTGACCGTTGGCTGAGTCACTGTGAACAGGCTGGTATTCAAAGGAAAACTGTGTTCTCGGTCCCACTTCTGAACTAGGGGTGCTGGCTTCAAAGTTCCCCAGGGAATCTCAGGGAAAGGAGGAGAAGGAAAAACCATAGCTCACAGGCTTGGTGGCCATTCACTGTGGGCTGGAACTGGACAGCCAGAGGAGCCCCTTCTGGAGACCCATCTTCAGCTTATTGGGTCTTTAAGTGTCAGAGAGCAGGGCAAACACTCCTTTTGGGGGTCTCTGTGATGGCTTTTAGAAGTGATGAAGGTTCAAGGTTGACAGAAATTATCTCAGTCCTAGCCCAAGATTTAGGTTTCCCAAGGACAAGTTCCTGGCACCTGGGACTCTAGTCTTTTTCCAGAAAGTCAAGAGGGGTCTGGCTTGAAACAAATACATTTGATAAGAATAGTCTGTTTCAGAGTCCCAAGGGTTGGCAGCGGAGGAGTAGCCCAAGCCTGAGAAATTCTAATCTCTACTGACTTCTACTAAGTTTCTTGGAGGCGGTGGTGAGGGGGTGGACAGCACAGATCAACGAGTAGCAAGAATGCCACTAAATTCAAAGGGGACCCAGAGCTGGAGACCAGCGCCAACAGGTCTCGTTAGTGTCAGCTGATGAGATTTGGCTGCTGGTCCCAGGGATGGAGATGAGTAGAGGACCTAAGAGAAACACAAAGAGAGTGTTTTGTGGGAGACAGGAGTCACAGGCACCGAGAACAGAGGCAGAGGAAGAGCCAGGCAAGCAGCTAAAGATAAAAGCGATGGAGAAGCAAGGCTAGAGTGATAGCCTACAACAGGGAAACTGAGTCAAAAAGCAAAGTCTTAGGGACTCACCCAACCACCAAGGGAAGCAAGTCCCTGGGAGCTGGTGGATGAAGCTGCCCTCATCCTCCGCGCTCCACGCCACTCACCAGACTTGCCTGCTCCGCGGGGCCCAAGGATAGCCAGGTTAACTTCCAGGGGCACGCTGTGCGGCCCACTGCCAGCTCGGGGCTTGCCGAACACAGACGACATGGCGAAGCTGCAGATGGCCACGCCGGTCTCCGGCCCGATGGGCTGCTAGTTGCACGCCCCCAGCGACCCAGCTGTGTCCGCCCGCTGGAGGAGGGGCGTGGACGGGGCGTGGCCTCCGTGCTCCAAAAACCTTTTAAAAGCCACTGAGCCTTATCCAGAGCAGTCTGCAAACAGAATTACCCTCCCTGCCTTCTGGTTGATTTCTGTGTCACTTTTGCTTTAGACCACAACCAGTTCAACCTCAGCACTCTACGTCTGTGTTTTGTGTGGGCGACTCCAAGTAGCATCACTGCAGAACTCAGGCTCCTGGGACGAAGGATTTGTGCCCCTTGCTAAGACTTCATGACCCAGCCAGGTGTCTTATTTTATGCTTCTAATCCCAGTATTTGGGAAGCAGAGGGAGGGTTGCAGCAGTGGCGCATTGGAGGCCAGCCTGGGCTACCTAGTGAATTCCAGGATAGCTTGAGTTACTTGTGAGACTGTCTCAAATCAAGCATAAAACACCTCACCCACACCCCTGTAAGTAATCCTAATTGAACTCACTGGATTGTCAAAAAATAATCAAAAAATATGATAATTGAAAGGGAAGAGGCGCTGGGCAGTGGTGGTGCACGCCGTTAATCCCACCACTTGGGAGGCAGAGACGGGGGATTTCTGAGTTCGAGGCCAGCCTGGTCTACAGAGTGAGTTCCAGGACAGCCAGGGCTATACAGAGAAACCCTGTCTTGAAAAACCAAAAAAAAAAAAAAAAAAAAAAAAGAAAGAAAGAAAGAAAGAAAAGGAAGAGGAAGGAGATAAATGAATGGTAGGGTAAGAGGGAGTATGGGACAGTGGATATGATCAAAAATACATTATTAGATGCATATGTGAAAATGTCACATCAAAACTTGTTATTATGTATAATTGATTGACTTCCAGAAAATCTAATCCATCCTGGATTAGTTTTTCTCCCTGATAGGAGTAAAAAGTTGAATATGTCTTCTATGTTCTTAGAGTGAACAGTAGTTCTGAGCTTGGTGGTAAGGTTGATGAAGCAGGGGTCATTCCCTGGGGTCTCAGATAGATCTGGTTATGCTGCAGATACGGCACAAGAACTTAGCTGCTGAGGTAACTTTGGGCAAATCACTCACTTCTTTGGGTTTTGGTGTTCCTATCTATAAATACCAATGGGCAGATAAATACAAAATTTGGGGATGTGATTTTGGCAAACCTGAGTAAATTCTAGAACCCTGAAGACCTGTATTCTAGAAAACACTCATGCTGGAGTGGGGAAGGAAATGCTAGCTCCATCCCATTCCCGCCCCACAATGGTGAGCTGATGACCCATTCACCCACTGTTACTGGGAATCCACCTGCTGGGATAGCTGTTAAGCCAATATAGTTAGCCAGCAGTTACACTGGGTGTTTGGGATGCCAGTGTAGCCTTAGACCTTTCTCAGGATAAGCTTTTAAGCACAAAACTTAGGTTGACACATCTCAAGTAGCCAGACAGTTAGTTATCCAGAGTCAGAACTACAGAAGCCAGAAAAGCAGTAAGAGACTTTCCCAGAACCGTGGTGTTTAACGGATCAGGTCTTTGTTTTTATTTTGGCAGGTGGTGCTGTGCATGAGCTGTATTTTGTGGCCTGAATGGTACTTCCATTGTGGAGTCAGTTCTGTTAAGGTCTGGGGGCTTACTAAGTTCTGGGGGGAGCTGTTACATTAACAACAAACAAACAAACAAACAAACAAACATGGAAACCTGGCCAGCAGCCAGGGGTTCCAGGGTATAAACAGGATGGCAGCATCCCTCCTGAGCAAGAAATGGACAGGATGTGAGTTTTGACTTGGTCTAGCTTTTGAGGGATTCACAGCAAACCAGCTGTTATAAAGCTTGTGAGATATCAGAGGGATTTGTGTACATTATACCTCAGACCAGACTTGCTTGAACAGCCGATGCATAACGTGTTTCCTCTGAGTTGTAGGAGTTGAAACAGTAGGAGCTAAGTTGTAGCCACATCCCTGGACTGGCTACAATCCTGTGCAGACATTCCAGATCGGGTCCACGGGGAGAAAACCTGTCTCATTGCAGGAGTGCTGGAGAGAGCAAGCTGGAGCCAGCACAGGTCAGGCAGATGAGAGTTTTACCACTTCTGAGTTTGTGTGAGGTGAGGGGAGTTGCTTAGAGCCTTTCTTGGGCTGAGGCTCAATTCACACAAAGCCTTGGAATCAATGCCCCACCCAGCATCAAATAAACTTGAGTGACTGATGGTACAGGCCTCTAATTCCAGCTGTTGTGAGGATCAGTTCAAGTTCATTCTCTCCTACAAGATCAGGAGAACAGGAGGAGCCTACACTATGTCAGAGCCTATCTCAGAAAGAAGGAGACAGTTCGCTCAAGAGAGAGGCTATTCTGTTCGGGCAAGTAGCTCAATTCTTCTTGTCTAGCCCCCTCAATCAAAGCTCTTATAGAGGACTTCAGACATTCAAAATATAGAGGTTGTGTTGCTGGGCCCAATGATGGGGGTGTGCGATCGGTGTTAAATAAATGTACAAAGTAGGTAAGGAATGAACAGGGAGGAATGTAGGACCTGTAAGTCTTTCCTGGTGCCAAGATACCCAAAAGCGATTGCACATTGGGGAAGTCTATTACATCTTCTCCTGGGTCACAGAACAACGTGCCTTCTATTGTTGTTCCGTGATGTATCACAATATCAAAACCTTCGAGCAGAACCCTAGAAATCATTTGCAAATCCCATTTCACAGCTGTGGAACTGAAGCCTGGAGAGGCTGAGTAGCTCTGGCAAACTGGTAGTCATATAGCATCAAAGTCCAGGCAACCAACCTTTCCCCAACTCCAGGAGCTGCAAGGTATTCCCTGCCCTGTGTACTGTCTTCACTGTGACTGGAAAGAGACTCCACCATCAGACCAGAGGGTGTTTTCTCCAAAGACAAGAGTTATGCCTCCTCTATCAGGCAATGCTCTTCTGGGACAGAAACTGGATTTCCCTTGGCTCACTAGGCATTCCAATAAGTTGGAACTCAGGGTTCCAGTGAATAGACCCTGCTAGAGAGGTGACTCAGTAGTTAAGAACACCTATTATAAGCCGGGCGGTGGTGGTGCACGCCTTTAATCCCAGCACTTGGGAGGCCGGGGCAGGCGGATTTCTGAGTTCGAGGCCAGCCTGGTCTATACAGAGTGAGTTCCAGGACAGCCAGGGCTACACAGAGAAACCCTGTCTCAAAAAAAAAAAAAAAAAAAAGAACACCTATTATTACTCTTGTAGAAGATTCAGTTTTGGTTCCCATCACCACCTGGTGGCTCATAATCATTCGTAACACCAGTTCTAGGGAATTGAACACCTGGCCTCTGCAGGCACCAGACATTCGCATGGTACACATATACACACGCAGACAAAACATTCATACACATAAAAATTAAATAAATACATCTTTTAAAAGTTTTTTTTTTAATTAAAAAAAGAGAAAGACCCTACTGGGTGCTGACCATGTAGCCGCAGATATGAATAAAGCTTGGGTCAGTGCTCCTCCAAGACTCAGAGCCTGATGCCTGCCTGCCTTTTGTCCCTACCCCCATCTCTCTCAGTGTGGGGAGTGCAAAGTGGAGAGGGGGTTTTGTTAGAGGTCAGGCAAGGGTCAGGCAGGGCCTGGGAACTCTGTGGGCTGCCCACAGCCAAGACAGTTCCTTGTCCTCTCCATCTCCCAGAGGGCCACTCAAGCATCTGGGAGGGGGAAACTCCCAGCTGTACACACCATCAGCTGGGGCCCTGAGGGTAGGACCAAAGGGCAAAGCCTCAGCTCAGATGCAGAACCATGATCTCTACCCAAGTAGACCCCTCCCCATCATCAGGCTGTGGAAGTACGTGTAAACAGGGTGTGTGGGTATTTCCACCCACTCAAGAGATCTTGACTTGGGGGTGGACATGGGAAATCGATTGGAGGATAAACTTCAGTCTAGAAGAATTTTGTGATTTTTGCCTCCTGCCCTTAGGAGAGGCCTGTGGTGGTTCTATTTGGCTCTGTCTGGATTCTGTTAGGCGTCAGGAACAGGCTAGCTGATGGCAACTATGCAGCCCTGTTCTGACAATCTGCCTTCTCTAGCCCCTCTCCCTTCTGAGCCAAGGCTAGGCAGGTAGAGAGACTATGCCAGTCTAGGGATGGAGTAGCCTATAGAGCCAGTAGACAGTTCTGTCAAGTCCACACTGAGGAAAAGCCTCCTTCATCTGGAAGCCTCCCAGACACTCTCCCTGTTATTAAGGCCTAGCAAGGATACAGGTTAAGATCTGACACTACAACTTCCACTTGTCCCCAAGAAAGGGTTGCCATACCTATTGCCTGGAACATTCTGGACTCTTCCAGCCAACGTCTGGTCTCAGGGAAGGAGAGACACTGGCAGAGGGCCTGGGATAGTACTCATGGGATTTCTGCCCACCCCACCCCCATCTCCTTCCCCTCTTCCTGCCTGGTCCCTGGGGCAGAGCATCTGAGATATTTCTGGCAGTGTCTTCAAGGCCTCCGGCTTCCCAGGCTCACACAAGTGGTCCCCACACCCTAGGCCTGTTTTGATGGGATGAACTAGGGCGTGCCTTAAGGGCATATTTGCTGTGGGTCTGCAAATTTATCTGTAAGTTCTACGTCTGTGTCCTAAAGGGGAGGAGGGTTCTCCTACCCTACTCCTACTGCCTTTTTGGTAATGGATAGCTGTTCTACCCCCCAATCGAGGACCAAGGTGAACATCTCCCAAACAGATACACCATCCTATCAAAGTCTAGTCCTCAGTTCCCTCACCTTCAGAGTGTAGCGGAAGGAGAAGGCAATTATCAAACTCTTTTCCATCTGACATCTTGGGACCGAGTATTAGATGGTCAATCTGGAAAGCCGTGCACAGTTGGAAAAGTGCCTTGAACAGGACTGCAGGAGGGCCTGGGGCTGTCTGTCCCAAGCTGCAAGATCTTGGACAGGGCTCTTTCTCACACTTCTACCTGGTCTTCTTGGGGATTCATGAACCTTAGGTTCCTTCCAACTGCTCTGAACTCTGCACAGAAGGGAACAGGTTAAGAGCACATACATAAACTGGCTGCATTCTGGCTCTAAATCTGCCACCTGCTGGTCATGGACTAAACCCTTCCTTAGTTTAGTCTCTTTATTAAATGGGGGGTGTTAGCAGCATCTAGTTCAGGGCTACAGTGTGAATCAGTAAACAGAGTCCTTGTTTAGTGTGCACAAAGCTCTGGGTTCAACCCCAGCGTCACATAAACTGGGCGTAGTGGTACATGAACTTGGGAGACGGAGGCTCGGGGCCATCCTTACTGTATAGCAAATTTGAAGCCAGCCAAGGATATATCAGACCTTTTCTAGAGAAGAAATCCAGATCATAGCATTGCTGTAAAAAGTAAGTGGAGATTGTCTATTCGCCAAGGATATTGGGGGGAGGGCCATAGTAATGACTCATGGAGTATGTATCGTGGTGCGATTGAAGTGGAGCCAGTATTATCCGAAGGAGGCTTTCCCATCCACAAGTATACTATCCTCCCAGCACCTGCGCTTTTCTTCATCCACAGTGACAGTCACAGAGGGGTCAGGCAAGTGAAGCCCAAATACCAGCTTTCCACTTCCATTCCACCTCTGGGGCTAACTGGATGCTCTGCTACACGAAAGTAAAGGGCTAAAAAAGAAGTTGCTATGGGGCTGTGGAGACCACTCAACGTTAAGAACAAACAAATCCAGACTACAGGGCTCCATTCCCATAATCCCACTTCCAAGGGATCTGAGATCGTCTTCCAGCATTCAAGCACACGGCACGCCTGTGATGCACTTACATACATGCAGGCAGGACTATCCAGCAAGCATGAGCAGAGACATGTCTTAGAACCCTAGGCTAACCATTCAGTTTGCTCCTCTTTGGTCTCTCCCTTCAGCCTGTCTTTCTCATTCCTTTGAGGTTATGAATGCTAGTCCTCATCGGAAAGACCTTAGAAAAGTCATATAAACTCTCCAGGCCTCAATCAGAACACCTTATGGAATTTGTGCCAATACTGTATATAGATGTTTTTATTTACCCTATTTTAAAAATGAGGAAACAGAGCCGAGGTACATGTGTTGTATAAAGGCCACACAGCTTGGTATGGTGCCTGTTAAATAGGATATTTTTACAAGCAGGCCTGGCAAAGCCCAGCACGCAGTGGGTATTCAGTATATAGTTAGTATTGTCACTATTTATTTCCTTTTTATAAAAAAAAGTTTATCTCTGTCTCTGTGGAGGTGGGATGAATGCCACATCGTGAACACAGAGGTCAGAGGACAACTTTGTGGAGTGGGTTTCCTCCTTCCACCTTTATGTAGGTTCCAGGTTGAACCCAGACCAGCCAGGCTTCTAGGCAAGAACCAGTTGAACCATCTCTTTGGTCCTGTCACTAGTCTCTTAACAGAACTGAATGACCACACAGGTGTCCAGATGCCCTCTGGGCCCTGAGGCTATCCAAGCCTGCGGGCCACATCACATGAGCAGGTCCTATCTTTAGCCAGGAAAGTATTTATAACCCCCAGGGAAAATTTTTTTTTCCTCCCCGCCCCGGGGTAGCCCCAGAGTCAGTGGACCCAGGCAAATCTCGGCCCTCCAGCGGCGGCAGCCTCCGCCCCCTCTAGCTCATCATGCCCCCAGACCCTGAGGTCCCGGTGCAGGTGTGGGTGGATGGTCAACTCTTCCAGGCGGAGCAGTCGCTGCTGGTGGAGCACTGCGGCTTCTTCCGCGGGCTTTTCCGCTCTGGCATGCGGGAGGCGCGCGCCGCCGAGGTGCGCCTGGGCGCGCTGAGCGCTACGGGCTTCCGCACAGCTCTGCGGGTGCTCCGCGGAGAGAGGCCGGCGCTGGCGGCCGATGACGAGCTGCTGCAGGCTGTGGAGTGCGCCGCGTTCCTGCAGGCGCCCGCGCTCGCACGCTTCCTGGAGCACAGCGTCACGTCGGACAACTGCTCATTGCTGTGCGACGCGGCCGCCGCCTTCGGCCTGCACGACGTGCTCCACAGCGCTGCGCTCTTCATCCGCGACGGATCGCACGAGCTGGTGGCACAGCTGGAGCTGCCCGAGGCCCGAGCCTACGTGGCGGCGCTGCGACCCAGCACCTACGTGGCGGTGAGCACGCACACGCCCACACCCGGCTTTCTAGAGGATGCGTCGCGCACCATGTGCTTCCTGGACGAGGAGGACGACGCGTGGCGCACGCTGGCCGCGCTGCCCCTAGAGGCCAGCACGCTTCTGGCGGGTGTGGCCACCCTGGGCAACAAGCTGTACATCGTGGGTGGCGTGTGTGGCGCCAGCAAGGAAGTAGTAGAGCTGGGCTTCTGTTACGACCCGGAAGGTGGCACCTGGTGCGAGTTCCCCAGCCCGCACCAACCGCGCTATGATATGGCGCTGGCTGGCTTCGAAGGCCGCCTCTATGCCATCGGTGGCGAATTCCAGAGGACACCCATAAGCTCCGTGGAGTGCTATGACCCGGCCACAGGTTGCTGGAGTTTCGTGGCGGACTTGCCACAGCCAGCTACAGGGGTTCCCTGCGCCCAGGCGCGTGGCCGCCTCTTCGTGTGCCTGTGGAGGCCGGCAGATGTCACTGCTGTCGTGGAGTACGTGGTACAGATGGACAAGTGGCTGCCGGTGGCTGAACTGTGTCGTTCGCAGAGCTACGGTCACTTTATGGTGGCCCATCGTGACAGCCTCTATGTAGTACGGAATGGACCTTCCGATGACTTCCTGCACTGTGCCATCGATTGCCTCAACCTGGTCACAGGACAGTGGACATCGCTACCTGGCCAATTTGTCAACAGCAAGGGAGCACTCTTCACGTCTGTAGTGCGTGGGGACACCGTTTATACCGTCAACCGTGTATCCACGTTAGTCTATGCCATTGAAGATGGCACCTGGAGGCTGCTCAGGGAAAAGGCTGGGTTTCCTCGGCCTGGCTCTTTACAGACTTTTCTTCTGCGACTGCCTCCTGGCACTACTGGACCTGTGGCCACCGCGCTGCCAGAGTTGTGAGCTTGGAATGACTTCAGAAGACACACGAATCTCCTTGAGCCTTGGCTGCGTCCTCGTGAGCCTTGGCTGTGTGGACCTGGATTGGGGAGCTCTTGGGAGCTCCTTTTTCCCTATCGAGACATTCAGGTTTGCTTTCTGGTGGTGCGAATGTCCACGAAGCCCTGAACAATGCAGGCGCCTGGTCCTCAAATCACTTGGGCTCTGTTGAGAGCTGGTGGGTCATAATCTCAGGGAAAAGGGTGGGGTTACAATTTGGACAATCCAGACTTGTAGCTAAAAGTGGGTTAAGTGATGTTAAACCAATCTGCTAATTAGCAGGCACAAAGCACCAATACGATGTTGGGCTGTAGTTGTCAGCTGGGGCACAGAAAGCTTGGAGACGATACCAGTTTTCTTAATACAAACGTCAGGATGATAAAACAGGTCTACACATAATTGCGTCCACCCACAAACTGACAGCAACATGCTGATTTTAATAAACAAACAACACACCATGCAATAAGAAGAGTACTGAAGCAGTCAGCCTGGAAGAGCAGCTTTGGATCAGAGTCTGAGCGTTCCAAGAAGAGAGAGGGGAAAGACTGTACCAGACAGGGTTCGGTAAGCTCCAGCCTTTCAAGCAGAACAGCGGAAGGTGGAGGCATTCCAGCAATGAGGCTGGACTTAATTGTAGCAAATGAAACTCAGCTGAGCCTGAAGCAAGATGGTGGGAGGAAACAAGGTAGCTTTAAGGTCTGGAATGGAAAAGAAGTATCCAGGTGTAAATCCTTGGCCTATCTTTTTTGTTTATAACAGAAGACTGTTCATCTCCTGACTTCAGGTTACCTACGGTGTATGGAGCATAGCCTTGCTGATCTCAGGGCATTCCTTCCTAGATGTGCCACAGGGTTCGTCTCTCTTGTAATCTCTGCTGTGCCAGTTCCCTGAGCCTATAGTGCTTTCCCTCTTCCTGTTTGTTATCTCCATACTCACCTCCTCTCTGCAGGATTGGTTGAGCCAGCTCCTGTTTTCCTGATCTGGCTGCCAGCACCCCTCATTGATCTCTGTTTGATCATGTGACATTCTGTATGGGATATGCAGCCGTACCTGTTTGTAGATAGTAGGCATACAGGTCCAATACTTTTGACTGAACCAGGCACCTCCTTGCTGCAGAATGAAATGATGTCTTACAAGAACTAGTTAGGGGGTCTTCTACTGACACGTGCTGTTAAACAGCTCTTATCTTAAAAGTAATACCCAGACCCAACTTCTGTTACAGATGCCTGCTTCAGCCCTGCAGCCTGACCATGTCTCTTAGCAGTCTGGTATAGTCTGCATCCTTCAGGACTCAAGGCTCATAGAAAACTCTGACTTCAGAAGTAGAGAACACAACACTGGCATGATACTTCTTGGGCATGGAGCCTGGTGTTGGGCCATCGCTTGCTACCTCTTCTCTGATGTGTATCCCAAACTTGAAATAAGTTGCCTTTGGGAGTGTGGAATCTTCTAGTCTTTGTAATAATCTAGTCTGATGAATTACAATAAACTCTGACATTCGTATCCTATGAATTCTAGGCAAACCGTGTTTACATTCATTTCTTCGGCCCTGCCCCGAGTGATGCTGTTAAGGACCCACTGTCCTCCTTTGGCTCCAGTTCCAGGTGATGGAACATTTTCCCTAGCAGCCAGAGCACTGCCTCTTTGATCACACCTCCTGACCAATACTGAACACATGTCATTGGTAACAGTAAGGTCTTCTCAGCGCATGGGGTCTTTCTCAACTCTGTGAATGCTAGTTTTGGCTCTGATGGGCCTGCTGGACTGGCCCTCTACACTTTGACTGTTGCTCATCGAGAATGGCACCTTCTTTTAGAAGTGTCTTTATGTACAGTAATGAGCATGTTCATATGGTTTTCTCAAAGTTGACTTATTTAAGTGTTTGAGATTGTTTGTTTGTTTGTTTGTTGTTTGTTTGTTTGTTTGTTTGAGACAGGGTTTCTCTGTGTAGTCCTGGCTGTCCTGGAACTCACTCTGTAGACCAGGCTGGCCTCAAACTCAGAAATCTGCCTGCCTCTGCCTCCCAAGTGCTGGGATTAAAGGCGTGAGCCCCACTGCCTGGCATGTTTGAGAATTTTAAGCAAGAGCCAGGTGCAGTGGTGTACACCTTTAACCCCAGCACTCAGGAGGCGGGGGAAAGTGGATCTCTACATAGAAAGTTCTTGGACAGCCATGGCTACATAGACACTGTCTCAAAAATAAAAATAATAAATAATAAATAATTTTAAGCAACACTAAGGAGATAGCCCAGTTGGTAAAGTGCTTGCTTTGCAAATGGCAGGCCCTAAATTTAGTCTCAAGCACCTATGTTAAAAAAAATCTAGCAACAAAGAAAGATAATGAGGGGGACTGTAGATAGCTCACTTGGTAAAATGATTGCCTTGGAAGCACAGGGACTGAGTCTAACCCCAGCATCTACCTTAAAAATCTGGGTGCGGAACCATAGGCTTGGAATCTCAGCACTGACTAGGCAGAGATGCTGAAGTCCCTGGAGCTCCCTGGCCAGTCAGCTTTGCCTAGCTAGAGAGTTCCAGGCCAAGGAGCGACCCCTTATCAGGAAGAAAAATAAAAGGTATACAGATGGTGTTTAAGAAAGAACAACCGGCTCTTCCACCGGAGGCCTACACACCACCGTCTGTGCCACCACCATGTCTCTAGTGATCCCCGAGAAGTTCCAGCACATCCTGCGAGTACTCAACACCAACATCGATGGGTGGCGGAAAATAGCCTTCGCCATCACTGCCATTAAGGGCGTGGGGCGGAGATATGCTCATGTGGTGTTGAGGAAAGTGGACATTGACCTCACCAAGAGGGCTAGAGAACTCATGGAGGATGAGGTGGAGCGAGTCATCACCATCATGCAGAACCCACGACAGTACAAGATCCCAGACTGGTTCTTGAACAGACAGAAAGATGTGAAGCATGGGAAGTACAGCCAGGTTCTGGCCAACGGTCTAGACAACAAGCTCCGGGCGGACCTGGAGCAGCTGAAGAAGATCCAAGCCCATAGGGGGCTGCGCCACTTTTGGGGCCTTCATGTCTGCGGTCAGCACACTAAGACCACCGGCCGCAGGGGCCATACTGTGGGTGTATCCAAGAAGAAATGAGTCTCTGGGCCTTTGCTGTTAATAAATAGTTTATATACCTATTAAAAAAAAAAGAACAACTGTCTTCTGGCCTACCAACGAGTGCATGTGCACACTCAAATGTGTGTAAGCATACTTAAACCCACATACACACAAACACTTTCCTGCACACATATGTGCACACAGGTACACTGTGGTGGTCTGAATCAGAGTGGCATCCATAGACTCATATATTTGAATGTTTAGTCATCCGGGAGTGTCCTTGTTGAAATGGATGCAGCCCTTGGAGTGGGTATTGGAGGAAGTATATTGCTTGGGGTTGACTTTGAGGTTTCAAAAGCCCAAGCCGAGCCCATTGGCTTTCTCTCTCTTTCTGCTGCCTGCAGATCCAGATATGGAACACTCAGCTAGTTCTCCAACACTTCTCATTGTGTGCCACCATGCTCCCACCATAATAATGGGTTAAACCTTTAAAACTGTAAGCCAGCCCCAGTTAAATGCTTTCTTTTATAAGAGTTGCCATGGTCATGGTGTCTCTTCAAAATAATAGAACACACACACCAACATGTGGTTCTCGGCAAGAGCAATATGTTCTCTTGACTGCTGAGTTCTCTCTCTCCAGTCACTGTTTGTTTTCCTCTATAGCATTTAACATCATCTTCTCTGCTACATTTTTCCACCTGTTTTTTTGCTCCTTGCTAAAATTTGAACTCTATGAGAGCAGGGATCTTAACCCATGCTGCTAGGGCTTGATCCCAGGGCTTTGTGCATGCTAAACTAGCACCTTACTCCTTGGCTGTGTTCCCAGACCAAGGGCAGAAACTTTTGTTTATATTATTCACTGATGCATCACTAGTACCAGGAACAGTGTCTACAATGTAGCAAAGATGTATACCATCTGTTAGATGAATGGAGAGGGTTTAATGATGTCTTCTAACAGAACAACCAGATGAGTCAACAGACCAATAGAAAAAACCCAGGTGGGAGGTACATAGCAAGCCTCAGATTTCAGAGGAGTTTCTGGTAGGGCAGTGAGGGTTGAGTGGGCTTGTAAAGGCAGAGAAGACTTCATGAGGCAAGGATGACCTGTACACTTCGGGAGGAGTGGGATCTGAGAACAGCAGCCACACACTCCTCTTCCTCCCCGGGAGGGTAAGAGGCTGTGGTTGGGAAGGCTAATCACCAGTGAAGGATTGCTCCTCTTGGCGGTGGAGTACACACAGGACCAGTCTATTTATTTTCCTCTGGCCCCAAGCAGCTGGGCCCCTTTTTCATCCTAATTGCTTGGTTCAAGTCGCTGTCATTCCTAAGGAGCAGCAGCAAATTAACTGTGCTGGTGTAAGACCCAGCTGTCAGGAGATAAGCAACCTTTGAGCATGGGGATCATGGACTCAGGACCCCAGGGAGAAGTCTCATCCCAGCACTGTCCAGTGACACCTCAGCTGTCAGGAAGCATGAAAACACAGACCCCTGGCTCTGGCATCTCAGCAGCTAAGAAAGGTTAAGGGGGGAGTTGAGGAGAGGCCAGTCATTAAAGTGTTTGCCCTGTAAGCACAAGGACCTGACTTTGACTTCCAGTTCCTACATTCCTAGAACCTACATACACAAGAGGATCAGGAGTTCAAGACAAGCCTGGGATGCATAGTGGGTCTGAGGCCAACCTGGGCTACCAAAAACCAAAACAACAACAAAAGCCAAGAGCAGTAACATGGGCTTGTAATCTAAGTGCTGAAAAAGCAAAAGCAGTTAAGTCTCTGGGGCTCCCTGATCACCCAGCTTCACTTAACTGGGAAGCCACAGGTCCCAGTGAGAGACCCTGTTCCAAAAAATAAAGTTCAAGAGGACAACACACACACCACACCACATACACCACACACA